ATTTGAACATATTTCGGTACATAAATAGAATAAATATTCTCAAAAATCGTAATTAATTTGATAATATATTAATCACATGTGTAATGTATAAAATTAATCTAAAATGTCTACAAATACATTAGCAGTATGCAACAACGTTTGAACTTATTATAATAATATAAAATAAATTTTTAATGTATAATATAATAAATAATAATACATTAAATAAATGTATATATACATAAATTATATTCAAAGGATATATGGGGATAAGGATAAAGGTATACGTGATTATATTGTATGTGTCACCACAGGCGCATATAGGGGGGTGTTTGGGGGTTTTTAGCAATTTATTTTAGTATTTCGCCAATCATTTATAAATTATTGTTGTTTATTGGTTCGGAATTTTTTTTTCATACCAAATATTGTCAACTATTCACGAATTTACGATTAAAGCAGTATTGTGTGAATGTACGTTTCAGCGTTTCATTTTTTAACAAAACCTTAAAAAAAAAATGTTCATTACATATTTCTTTTAAATGTTATACTATTGTAGCTACAATAATAAGGCTATAATATTAAACGATTTGGTGAAAATCCGTTTTTCGTTAAACGGCGCGTCATCGCCATTTAAATATAAAATAAAAATTCAAATTATATAATCTCTTTTAAGATTTTTAATTAATGTGGTTATTACATGGTTTTTACTAATATATTTATTTAATCTGCGGGCTACGTTGGATTGAATAAATTCGGAATGACAATTATTATTAAGAGGATGCTATATGTGTGGTCTTCGTTTTACAAATGTAAAACATAGTAAAAACGGTTTTTCTGTGGTTTAGAACCACTCAGGCTATAGTTCAAGTTATGCAACCAAATGTTCCTACTAGAAAGAGGAGAACATTGACAACATTGTTTTTAATTTTCGATATCACAAATACAAAAAAGTTCTTATAGTTTAAAAATTAAAAATTAATTAGTTTTGAGGTTTTCAAACTTAAATAACTTGTTTTTAGATCTGATATCTGATCTAGGAAATATAGAAACAATGTTGCACAGTAATTTTTCTCATTTTTATAGTGTGGAAGATTGATTGCTTAGCTTAGAGTACAGCCTGAGTAGAGAGTGGTTCTTATACAAGTACAAAACAGTTTTTCCTATGTTTTACATTTGTAATACGGATAGAACACATGCAGGTGTACCAAGAGTCTTCTTAACAATCATACAGACTTTTTGATTCCTTGCTTTTTACATATTATTGCATACAAATTTAAAACTAACGCAATGCAGTTTATTATATTATTAGGATCTGTGTAACATCAATTATTCCAGTACCCCCTTAATTCACACCCAATGTGCGCCTATGAGTGTCACCTTATATGTTAACTAAAGTTTATAGGATTAAATAAAGGTAGTTAGGTACCGGAGTCGAAGCAATGCGAAAGCATTTCTACTTGGTGACTAGATAACATAGGTATGTGAACGTGAAAAATACGTATATAATTAAAATTAAAGTAAACGGTGAGTATGAATAAGGTGATCAATTATTATTCGAGTATCTTAAATTTTATAGACTCGTTAAGTGAAATTATATTTTTAATATAATATTTATGATGTATATATTGTATTTTAAAATTAAAAACATAGGTAATACGTTTTAACAGCGATTCTACTTATATTATATACCTACGCCATATTTTAATAAGAAAAATACAACCACTTAATAATAATAACAAGTAACAGTTATAATAATAATAATATAGTCTCATTATTTGTTGAAAGTAAAAAAAAAATCAATGTACCCGAGATCAACATTATATGTTATAATTATATTGGTGAACGTGATGAACGTTTGGACAGTCGTTTGGACAGACTAGACAGCGTCTAAAATTTATAATGCAATATATTTAATGTGTATAATATAATAATACAATACAAAACGATATTATAGTTTTAACAATAATTAAAATAATATATACATAAAATAGTATTAGTATACTCGTATTATCGATGGTTCAAGTATAATATAATAATAAATTACAATATTACATATTATAATCCAACCTAGTATCAGACGTGGTTATGTATAATATTATAATGTAGTGCCTACTATGAATTAAATTATAATACATAATAAGGCTCTTTTCGTGGCGGCGATAGGTCACACACGTGATAGAGCTAAGCGTCTCGGTCGTACATATTATATATATTTGGTATAAGGCTGATAATCTGTTATTCCCAGAATCACAATTTATTATAATAATTAACTGATAAAATAGTTCTCCAACAACGATGCGAGCACTACATGACATCACTCTGAAATTTATAATCAAACGTAGTAATAGGAGAAAGCAAATTATTGAGTTTCATTATCCTAATGTCAAGAACATGTACAGACGTTTTCAATTAGGAGGTTTTATTACGGTCCAAAGTCGTTTTATTTTACTGTTTTTTTTTTTTCAGAAACGATGATACACTGATAGTGAATATATTAAACATAAAATATACTGATGTATTTATACTGACAATTATATTCTTGACATGGTAAAATCGTTATTTGACGGTGTCTATATATTTTATAATACTCGTCTCCCTGCACATTCTCATAGTTTTAAACATCAGTATGTTGTGCAATAAGCGTAGTAGTACGCACTATGGAAATTAATTGAATAATATCTCTTGCCGTTGAACGTGAAACTTAGTATAAGTAATCACACTATAAGTAATTTCATTTTTTTACTGTCCCGTCTACTCATTGTATTTCCTTATAAATCGAGATTAATGAGATGAAGAATTTAAATGTGTTCATTTGAAATGTCGATTGCTCATTACGAATGATTGAATTTTACCCTTGGTCTACTTATTTGGAACGTCGATAAGAAATATAACACATTATGCTTCACATAAGTCGTCTATTTAGTTTTTTAAGTCTATGCCACATATATATATATATATATATGCCTTTTAAAACGTTAAAGACCCAGAGAATTATAAAATAGTTTGTTCGTGTTATACGTATATTATTATGAAGTGTGTGCTCTCAGAGAGTAGACAAACAAAATTCCTATATACATTTTAATACATTGGTGGTGTTTAAAATACGTGCTTTTAGGACTAGAATGAAAAAGATACAGGTTAGAATAATCCACCGTACCGCTGTCAAGGGTAAATTATTTATGGTCCTACAGGGGTGGGCCATTATAAAAACTGGTCATAAAACGTGTTTTAAAAACGGTATGGAAAATATAAAAACCTTTGATGGTGAGAAATAAGTAAAATCAATTTATAAAATATATAATATAATAAGAAAAAAATACATATATATATATATATGTATACACGAGTCCTATAAAGTGTCTAAATGAGTCGTATCGGCACATGATATATGAACCACATGTACAGACATTTTAAATCAGTTGGGTCAGACGGAGATAACCCCAGGCGGGCGATCGTATCGTGTCGAAAAATATGTTGAAACATCTACGAAAAAAAAAAACAGTATCGAAACTATACAACCATAAATGGTCAAAAACCCAAAACCATATAAATCGTATATGTTAGTGTCCTGCCAGCCGGGTACATAGTGTGATCTTGACAGTTGATGAGGGTCTGGTGCAGCTGGTGTGAGGAGCCGAATGGACAGACGGACCTAACCGACGGGGGGTCAAATACACATGTTACCGGCTTAAAAGAAAAATACCACATTCCATAGAAAAAATAAACATCATGAGAATTTTAATTCATATAACCATAAATATATAAACGGTTAGGGTGGGTTGTACGAGTATAGAATATAATGGGCGTCTAAGGTCGAATTTATTATCCGATATAATAGATATAATATAATGTTGTGGAATAATGGTTACAAGCCGTAATCGTAAATTCCTAATGGCATGAGCGGTGTTGCAAAGACCCCTGTACAGGTTACAGCAGACAGTGGGGTACAGCATGCCCTCCCATCTACCTCAAGATGATTATCGGTGGGCCTCTGAACGGTGGCCACAAACTAAGATATAGACGAATTGAAAGCGAGGATAGATTAGTTTCCTTAAAACTATGTATACTATGATGATCATCTTACAGGTGGAATTCACCTTTTGGCTACCCAGCTACAAGACTTCGTTATAATATTTAATATACACGCAGTGGGGGCTAGTGGTAAAATATGGTGCACTGCAAAAGCAAGTAAACAAAAAAAATAAAAAAATGTTTACTTATGTATAATGAACTATAAATTCCAATGTTTTATTACTTATAAAGTTGTTATGGATATATATGGTTGACAGTTTAAAAAATATTTGTCAAAAAATTAACAGTTTTTTCAGCTTTTGGCTTTGATAGGTAATTTTGTGGAGCACAAATTCGTTGTGCACCAGTAGATTGCACAAATATTATATGCACCCACTGCACTTTAGAACGTTTCGGAACACAATAAATTTATGCATCTAATTTTATCGTGCCACGCAGTAAAACAAGTATTGACGAGCTACATTTATTAAAATTGTTTGTGCACCAATCAACGAGCCACCTCTGGTAATACACGATATAGTTTGTTCGAAAAATCCAATAGTTACCATAGTGGTAAAATTAATGTGATCTATGGTAAAAAAAACATTTTATCAATCTACTATTCAAATTTTGAGTTAAATGATTTTCAATATATTATTCCTTTTTCAATACCTATTATTGTAATTTGTGATGACTATAAATTTTATTCATCACGATATTTTTTATCATAGTATTTTGTTTTAAAGTTAACATTGTTTATCATTATTGTTTAATATTATTATTAGGGGCGATGTTTATAAATACTACGACCTCCATTGCATGTAACCGCTTTGTGGTAACCAGTCTATAACATGCTCTTCGATCCCACATACAAATACAATATATAGGTACGTCATATCGTACATTATCTACACGCGCTGTACACATTTCGAGAGAAACATCTCGCACGCCCGCCGATCGTGTCGTGACGAGTCCCTCTCCATATCTCAGTTGACGGGTCGTTTATGTCATCACCGTCGACCCGACGAATTCCTCCTGGCCGCCATGGCCGCAAAAGACGCCGAGCTGCCGAACTGCGACAGCTGAAATCCGTTGGCCGTCTGCGCAGACGACGTGGCGCTGCTGTGCGTCCGCGTGCTGGTGTTGACGGCCGCGCCAAAGTTGTTGGGCTGGCACGACGACGAGAAGCTCGGGTACCGGTGGGGCTCGCGGACGCCGAAAGCCCGGACGAACCGCTCGCGAGCCGGCTCGGGCGCCCTGGCCAGGAGCAAGTTGAGCACCGAACGCTTCCAGCAGAATATGAAGAACACGAACACGCCGCGGAGTGAGTTGATCGCGTCCGTAGCGTACCAGTAGTAAGCGGGCGCCTCGACCGCCCACGAGATCACTTCGAAAACGAACGTCACGCCCATCAGGCAGAACAGCTTTAAGTACAGCGACAACCTGCGAACGATGACGACAAATCAATACAAAGTATAAGCTGGTGCGCGTTTTATGCGGGTGGGGCTTAGGGAGGCTTGGGCAGCTGTTTGGGTGCCATTTGTGCTGGGGTGGAAAAGTTCTGCGCCCCGGTGGGTCGACACTCGACAGACATACGAGTAGAGAATATCTATCGCTATTGCCCGGTTTCACTTGATATATTATTATAGGTAAGTATAAATGTATATAGTGTTATATAGTTTTATAGTAATGTATATTTATATAGGTAATAGTATATTGGTATAGGCGTATAGCTAGTGAAATAATACTGTCTATAGTTTTCGGGAACATATAACTACGTCATTATAGATAGTGAAAATAATTGATCATCGATTATTCGGTTAGAGTTATTTCGGCTACAGTTATAATATATATTTATCATATTATGTGATTATATTTCGTATTAATATTAGCATACATTAATATTTAATACCGTTTGTTACTTAGCACGAATAGCTATTGTAAATTATATTTTTGTGTCACCGTGGTATTTGGATTATATTATTTAGTAATAATTAGGGTTGATGACCGTTGCATCTTTTTTTGGACATCATAAACGATACTATCCTACCTTAAAATGGGTTCCAATAACACACCATTCTTTGTAGGTAGCTGTATTAATTATGTATTTTAGATTCTGAGCGGAGCGATGAATGTATTGGTTTTACAATGATGTATGTTTTTTTTTATATTTTTATTTATATTTTTGTGTCTGTCATCACGTTTTAGGACAGTAAAAATGCTTGGATTTTCTTCATCAGTAGCTTTTCTGGTAGGAAAGTGAATCTAGTTGGTACTTTGGGGGGGTCAAAAGTATAAATTTCACAGTAGTTTTCACAAGCGCCGGGAAAAACAAACTTAAAAATTAAGGAAAAACGGGAATTTTTACGCAAAATCGTTTTCCAAAAAATCGATATTGGTTATTGGTGTAACTCTAAAACAAATGAACGTATATACATGAAATTTTCACTGGTTGTTTATATTTGCATTTTCTATACACGATAACATTTTCAAAATATTTTGATTTATTTTGAACTGTTTAGGGACATTTTCATTTTCCATTTTTTTTAGTTTTTTTTCTAAAAATATCAATAAAATTTTATTTATTGGTTGCGAAAGCTTGAAAATTTAATAGAAGGCTCCTAATATGTTGTTTCAAAGGCAGATGAAAAATATTAAAAATCCTTAGTCACAATTTTTTTTTATAAGCATTTAAAGTTCAAAAATTGACAAAATATGGAAAAATCACGAAAATTAGCAAATTATTTTGAGTTAAGAATTCGTAAAAATTTTTCTTTTTAAATCTAAGATTTGAAAATGAAACACAAGATTCCTTATAAGATTATCTACCTTTATCAATAAAAAAATCTCTACCGGACAGTCAAATTAAATTTTTATGAGCGTTTGAAATTCAAATTTTTACAACATTGGATTTTCACTCGATTACTCATGTAGCGATTTCCTTATTTTGTTGCAATTCAAAAACGAACAACTGTAGATACATGAAAATTTCACTGAATGTTTAAATTAGCATTTTCTATACACCATACAATTTTGAAAATATTTTGACCCTTTTTGAGCTGTTTATGGACATTTACAGCTTTCAATTTTTTTAGTTTTTTTTTCTATAAATATCAATAAAGTTTTATCTGTTGGGCCAAAAAGTGTAAAAATGTAATACAAGGCTCCTGATATATTGTTACAATAGCAGTTGAAAAATATTAAAAATACATAGGCACGATTTTTTTTTATAAGCATTTAAAGTTGGAATTTTGACAAAATTTATCAAAATCTCGAAAATTATCAATCGTTGGAATTAAAAAATTATAAAATGTTCAGTTTTTATAACTAAGAGTTGAAAATTTAAAACAAAGATTCTCTTAAATAATTCATACTCTCAAAAAATCTAATAAATATATAACCACACTTATTTTTTACAGACATTTTAATTTCAAATTTAGACAAAATTTCATATTTAAACCAAGAATTACGATTTTACTTATTTTGTTTTGATTGAATAATATTATTCGTGGGTACTTGAAACTTCTAAAGTGTACTATTATATATCTATGATAGTATCACGGTTTTTGTTGATGTATAACGCGTTATAAGTATCTAATGGATATTGTGATATGATTAGTTTGTAATTTATTATAGGTACCTATTATAGGTCAAATTTTTGTTTAATACCATAGATATGTATATAATATGTCTTATACATAGACTGACATACCGTCACCGCTCAGAATCGTTTTTCTTATACAATGATATTATATCATTGAATTCAAATTTAATACCATCCATTATACAGTGCCCCACTTGTAACCTACTGTACAGCAGAGCGACATCCACTTGCCCACCTTTTTTTACTTTTTTTTTTAGCAATAATCAATTATTTGCTTAACTCTTAAAAATGTACAGTTATAATATTATGAATATTACTATTCAACTTATTTTAATTTCACCAACGTATTACAAACAATGTTTAAAACAACATTTTACATTGTTTTCTAGATTAAAACGGGGGATATTAAAGTGAATCTAGTTGATACTTTGGGGGGGGGGGTCAAAAGTATAATTTTTCCAGGAGTTTTCAAAAGCGCCGTGAAAAACAAAAGAAAAATTAAGGAAAATCGGGAATTTTACACAAAATCAGTTTTCGAAAAAATCGATTTTGGTTTTTGGTGCAACTCTTAAACAAATGATCGTATATACATGAAATGTTTAGTGAATGTTTATAATAGCATTTTCTATGCACGATAAGATTTTCAAAATATTATAATTTGTTTTGAACTGTTTAGGAACATTTTCATTTTCCATTTTCTTTTAGTTTTTTTCCTAAAAATATCAATACAATTTTATTTGTTGGTTAAAAAAGCTTGAAAATTCAGTAGAAGGCTCTTGATATATTGTTACAATATCAGTTGATAAATATTAAAAATACATTGGCACAATTTATTTTTATAAGCATTTAAAGATCGAATTTTGACAAAATTTCTCAAATTTAAAATTGAATAATTATTTTGTAGTTAAAAATTTATAAAATGTTCAACTTTTATATCCAAGAATTGAAAATGTAAAACAAGATTCCATGTAAGTAGTTAATTTTGCTACCAAAAAATCTAAAAAATACATAAGCACAGTTTATTTTTATAGCCATTCTAAGTTCAAATTTGGACAAAATTACATAATAAAAAACCTAGAATAACTATTTTAATTATTTTATTGTGATTGTATAATATTATTCGTTTGTACTTGAAACTTCTAAAGTTCACTATTATATATCTATGATAGTATCAGGATTTGTTGTTGATGTATAACGTTTTATAAGTACCTACTGGATATTGTGATATGATTAATTTGGAATTTATTATAGGTACATTTTTTTGTAATACATAGATAAGTTTATAATATGTCTTATGCCTACCTAGACTGACATACCGTCTCCGCTCAGAATCGTTTTTCTTATACAATGATAGTATATCATTGAATTCAAATTTAATAAAATCCATTATACAGTGACCCACTTGTAACCTACTGTACAGCAGAGCACCTTTTTTAATTCAAATTTAAATCAGAATCACATTTGCTTATACATTTTAATTTTTGATTTTAAAATCAATTAAATAATTGTATAAACATTTTCTAAGTATTAAATTAATTTATATTATACATATCTTGAACAATTTTCTAAAGAATTTTAATTTTTTTTTTTTCATAAATGCCTTTTTATGTTAATTTAAAAACCACATTACATTATGTTGTTTTAGTAAAATATGTGAATCCTTATTATATTATATTTTGATATAATATATTATATTATGACGTAATAGCAGAACATAAAAATTTGGTTTTTATCTTCAAGTTTTTTTTCCGTTTACTCGGCAAATGATTGAAAGGACAAAAAAAGCACTAAGCCACAATAAACGGTTCGAAAGGGTTTTGAAATCTATTTTACATAAATTACGATAACATATCAAATCTTTAACCCCTCGTAATACCGAAGTCTGTTATTTTAAATGGGTTTTTAGTGTATTGTGTATGTTTCTCTGAAACGTCTATGACAGATAAATACAAATGTATATTATATATACAGGTAAGGTAGGACAAACATCAGTGGCGGCAGACAGGCGGCGAACTGTCAAGGGTAGATTTCGTATATTGTTTTACAGGCATATGCGTTAAGATAATATATCTATTCGCCGCCGACCGGCACCTAAAAAGACTAAAAAGGTTTTTGAACAGCCCATTATGTGTGTGTGTGTGTGTGTAGATCTCTGTGTCAGATATTTTATTTAAAAAATGTTTATTATACATTTATTTTAAGTTATATTTTTACTTTATTTGTTTTAAACATTATTAAGTGTTTCTTATTTATTTAAAGATTTTAGACCAAAGTTTAGAAAACCTATGTCAATGTAATATCATGTCCGTAATATAATAATTCATTATTATTCGTCGTTACTGTAGAACGTACTTATGATTGTTCATTTGTTTGTACTAAAGTATTTAATTACGATAATAGTTAAGAAAATTACTTATTCTGTAAGTTTTTAATATAGATTCATAATATCAAAAATATACTTCCAAAATATTATCGAATTCTTTTTAAATTGTACTTGCAAATATATTTTAATTATTGTTGAAAATTTTTTGATCATTGTTTGTTTAATTTTATTGTCTTGTGAAATATCGTGTTCATTAGATTACTATAATTTCTTTTATTATTGCAATAAAAAATGATATTGTTTCAAATAGGTGCATTTTGGAGTTTTAACTTTAAAAGTGTATTATAGTCTATAGACTATAGTATACTTCTCTTGGTAATCTGAAAAAAAAACCTCTAGGAAATAAGATCCGCGTAGAAAAATTCACAGGAAAAAAATCCCCAAAGTCCCCAAAGCAAATACTTATATAATATAATTGTACATCATAAGATACTCATAACTCGCATTAAAATTAAA